CCTCCGTAAAAATGAGTATATTTATGCAAAAAAAGTCAAACAGTGCTTTAAAAATGACGGGCCGTAACGATTGTAATTGTAAATCAATCTGGACAATTTGAATTCATAGGTTGGCTGTCCTTTTGGGCCCTAAGAGCTCCAACTTCAAAATTGCTGAAATGTCCGTACTCTCCGTACGTATGCATTGGCGGATCCAGCAAATTAGCAACATTGATTTTCTTAATTTAAACCTATGGAAATGTATCGATTCTCGGTTGGGCCAGGTGCTCCGACAAGAGTCGATCATTTAACATAGGTTTAAATTGAGGGAATCCGGCGTTGCCAAATTGCTGGATCCGTCTCCCTATATGTATGCATTCTTTATCAATAAGTTTGCGACTTTTTAATGAAGGAACTAATCCGAGAAATTCAGGAACATTTTCACACTTTCCTTGTAGTCATCATAAAATCTTCGAAATCTCTCTTTGCAAGATCATTTAAAATTAAATTTATTTCTTTTATAGGCCTTTACCGGCGTTTCCATTGCAATTGTATTATGTTATTAGTTATAACTTCCCAGCACCTGTATAGTGTGATTCCCCATTGTCGAAAAGCCGACATGGGCGAAATCGCGGGCGCCTTCATTCAAGCAGTTCTGCAATTTGAGATACTTAAACGTTGATATAGTTGTATGATGCCCCTTGATCTTGCTTTTCGACCCATCACGAAACGAGGAACGGTTGCTACGAACTGAATGACACAAATACAACCTCACGCGGAAGTATTCCTCATAACTTTATACTTCTCGCTATTTCTGTCTATATTTTATCCCCTGTAAATTTTAAATCATGGAAGATCTTCCAATACGACCCGGCTTTTTTCTGTAGCACCAGCACCCAGCACTACATCACATCCCGCTCAAAGAGTATCCAGGTCATTGCACAGTCTTCTCCTTTGTATCTATAGCGTGCGTGCAAGGAAACAAAAAGTTGGCTCCAGAGACGCAAGACAGGTGGGTCAATAGGTGTTTCCTAACTTTTTTCGACGCTCCACCCTTGCAAAGCTGAGACGCAAACTGGGGGAGAAGCAAGTCGGAAAAAAGGTTGGATAACACTGCCGTTCTGAGTAAGAACGCCGTATAAGCCATCAAGCTATGCCAAATTTCCCTCGAAATATAACGAATTATCAGGAAAATTGTGAACATTTCTCCTCCAATATTCACAGAATTTAATCCGTATTTGATCTGAAAAGTCTGAAAATTTTTAGGAAAAATATTCAAAACTTTCTCCAAAGATAAATAATTTCAAAGAATAAATTTGGTAACATACGAATGTTAATACGGTGGTTTTATATGCACGGCAGAACAGCTGTCTTGTGTATGCGACGTAAACAGTTTTTTCCGTATTTTTCTCAATTATAATCCTAAAAACGTTGCATGAGATTAAAATCGCGGGGGAGAGGGAGAGTTTAATGCTAAAAGATACAGATTTTTACACTTATTTCCCCCTCCATTCTATACTTGATGAATATTTCGCACAGTCTGAAAACTGTTTTTCGTGATAGCTAGACCCCACTCACAACATTCCATCCCCTCTCATTCCGGCTCTAATATTCATGGATGTGAGGAGTTGCTTGTAGGGAAGAAAATACTTTGTCTGGAATATTTACTGCCGGGAGGAGCGAACTCGAGATTTGAAACACACGTGTGTACCCATGTAACAGAGCTATTCTCCTCACTGCAATTCCTCCAAAATCACCTCTTTTTTTCATTTTTTTCACCGGCAGAATCGAAAAATTTTCCGATGAAACTGCAACCGTGTTATAAAGGAAGTTAGATTCGTGCAAAATAGATGAAGCGGAAGAAAGACGGATGGCCGGCTTGCCGACATTGCTATAGACTACCGTGCTCCGGGAAAGGCAGTATGTGCAACTCAGTGTGAACCTCGGTTGTGACCCATTTCTATGAGCTTTAAGGTTCGGTGTAGAATGTAGGTACATACTGCTCTCTTCCATGCGACGGCCGCCGGGGAAGTAGCCTGGCGTGATGCAGCGTCCGGCACACGTAAAAGACGTAAACTCTCTCGTCAAATGCGCAAAGCGTGCTGTTTACCTTTTGCGACTCTCGCACGCTTTTTCTTTACAATTTTTATTTAGTTTTTCATGCGAGTGTTTTCCCGGGAGGTAACAGAAAATAGCTCCGTCGAAAGTAACCATAGTTACGTCACGTCGCAAAAACATGTTTGAAATGTTGCAAATTTCGTCGCTCTTTTGACGTGAGAACGTATTTTCATTTCCACTGGAGCCCTGAAAAGCATAGAGTTGAACGGAGCAAAGAGTTTAAGTAGAAAATTGAGATACGTCCTTACGTCAGGGGAGCGACGATTTGCAGCGGAGGGAAATTGCACGCGAATATAATTGGCTCTCACGTAAATGTTTGCAGGGGACCGTGATTATCACGTCACGTTAAACCATACTCAAATCCTAGCAAAACTGCGATCTTCCATGAAAGTCTGCAAAATCGCATGAATGAGCAGGTCGTCTTTTAAGTCTCAGGTTTCTTAAATTTTCTTCATAAAAGGTTTCATTTTTGACACAAATGGTGCGATAGTTTTAGTCATATTTTATTTCTAAAGCCCTCGTCAAATAAGTTTATACGCACTTCTAGACTGCGACATGAAATCGTCTGATGTCACTTTTACATGAATGCAAGAAGCGAGATGGTGGATCTTCTGTCGCAGTCTAAAAGTGCGTAAACTTATCTGGCGTGGACTCTACAAGTTCAAATATTTGTGATTTTTCACGAAAACATCTTCGCCTTAGTATGCCGAAAAACTTAAAATTTGACCTAATCAAGAGAAGGAAACAAGCCTAATTTAGCCAAACACCTCTCCACTTGACATAAAACAGACATTTTAAATAAAACGTTGATATTTATAATTAATTACGGAGAGCTAAACTTTTAAACATCCTATTTTCGGTTCCAACTTGATTTGGTTTTTTTTTTTGCTATACTCGGTTCAATTATTCCAATTTCGGTATATTTGCTCTACTACTTAGATAAGTGGCCTGGGGCATTTTAGGGCAAAAAATCCTCAAAAATACGAGTAATACTACAAATCAAACACCAGAGTTATGGCACTTCGAGATTTGCATCTCAAGGAACGTTATCTGAGTCATGCAAAGCGAACTTGTGCGCTAGGATTTAAAAAGGTCCTCTAAATACTCCAAGCGAATACTCCAACTTTTCGGCCCAACATGACAAAATTCATTTCTCGTAATTTTATCTTCTGTGTAATAAAATCGCTTTCCTTGTGAACATTCTTCATACCAATAATCTATTCCTCTTTTTTTTGTCGTTACAAAAAGTTCCTTTCAATTTATAGCAAATAAAAACCCTTAAGTGTTTCATATAAACGTTTGAGACCAAGTATAAAGGAAAAATAATAACTCGATGTCACCGTAAAACCATTCATGAAAAATGTCCAACACATATTGGAATGGCGGAAAACAGAGGCGAAAGGAGCCGCCTCACCTGCACTCAAAAGCCGTCGGGTGCGTCTGGAGCAGTGGCAGCTAATTCCAGCCCGAGAGCTCCAACTTTTCTCGCATCCCTCAAAAAGAAAAGTGAAAGAAAAGGGGGAAAATCTGCGGAGTTTTCCGATCCGGGCTCGGAAGCTTCACCTGCAACGAGAGACGACCCCCTTCCCTCCGCCTCCGATTGCACGGCGAAGTGAAAGTGGAGGAGTGATATGACACGCTTTCTCAGGGATGCTTAATTCGATATTGAAAACAGTGAGGGTAGGAGGGAACAAGGGTACCTCCACCTCTATCACTCAGCCCTGTTAAGCAGAAACAGCGCAACCCGGCAATGAAGACCCCATGCAGTTACGAGGTTCTTTGCAAGGTGCTGCAGCACTACCCTCAAACGCTGGTGACGCGTCGAGAAGGGGGGGGGGTGAGGAGAAGGGGGTGACGAGCAGGGATGCTCTCGTAATAATCGAAGAATTCTCAACCACCTCCGCGCAAAGTTGTCACTGTGTAGAGAAAATCCCTCACGCCTGAAGATGAATGTTACCGCGCCATGCTGAAACGACTGTAATTCGAAATCCCTAATGGATAACATAGACAGGGTAAGGGATTATGCACTGCAACACATGTTTTCCTCTTCAAAATTCCACGTAGAGACCATTGTGGACGTATCAAACATTTTTAAATTCAACCAATGAATGAATCAGTTTCGATCTATTATTAACATTGTGATACCTCCTGCAAGAACAGGAAGTGAAATTAACAGTAAGAATACGGTAATTAATACTGATCATACAAAAAACCCCGGATATTATTCAAAGTTTATACCAAGAATTCGCATATCAAAAATAGTAACAATAAAATTCACTGAGCCTAAGATTGAAGACACACCCGCAATATGTAAAGGAAAGATTGATAGCTCACCTGATAAACCTCTATGTGTCAACCTTAAAGACTGTTCACTGTTTTATTTGAACTTCCCGCTTAACAAAGAGCCTTTACATACTTACATGAGTCGCTTTTATAGCGCTCTCTGGCGCTTTGCGACGCCTAATCGCCACAAAACTCGCTCTTCTCATAGGTCATCAGGGAGTTGACACTCCCTCATCTCATTTAACACCCCGTGTCGCCACCCTCTCACTGGGCGTCCCCTCCGTCCAAAGTTTACTTGTTTTAAATTGGCCATTGAACTAACTTCAGGTTTCTTTATCTTTAAGATCCATAATTTTTTCAGCGCGCTGAAGTTTTCTGATACCAATGTGGCGTTCTGGGGTAGGAAGGAGATTTTTGTAAAATCTATCATTACTTTTTTGTCGTAAGATTAATTGAGCTCCGATGGTCGATGTGGCCCAAGTCGATTTTGATTTCTGTAATACACTCATTATTCTGACTTTAAACATATAACTCATAGGTTGCTTATAAAAATGTTTTAAGAAAAAAGGTTTAAATAGTTCCATTGATACAAATTAAGTTAAGGTAAAAGAAAAACTTACCATTTTTTATTTTGTAATTCGTTAACAGGTCCATCATGAGGTCTTTATTTTTCTGGAAAAAAGAAAAAAATGGTAATCTTATCAATCCATGAAACAACGAAGTTGGGGAAACACATTTGAAATTGATACTGTTCCATGAAAATTCACGAGAACTGCATGGACATGGAGTTGGAGGTCATTAAAGTTCTTTCTGCGTTTATCATAAAAGTAAAGTCTCGCAATTTTCCTCTTCTCATCCTTTTGAAAATAAAAACAGAGAACATTCAGGGAAAAATTGAATGATTACCTTAAATAAGGTCAGACTTTTTTCAGAAATTTTGAAGCAGCTAATGTTCTTCAAATTTCAAGAAAAAGCCTCCAAAATGGAGCTCACCTAACTAATCCGCGAATCATACACAAATAGAAAGTATGAGAAAACCGAACAAGCAGCTGGTTCCAACACTACTGTGTTGGAGAGCTCGCCTTTGGGAAACTATTAACAACTATTAATGATTTTTTCTGAAATTGTATATGTATTAAATGAATCTTTACCCAATTATCAGAGGTTACATGCCGATGCAAAATGTTATGACGTAATTTCATAAGACAAATTTTTCACATTACAATAAATAAAGAGAAATAAAGAGAGAGAAATGGAATTATCTTTTATGAATGTGATTTTGCGGCAAATGTTGCAATGGCTATTTTTGCCATCGCATTTTTGTTTCTGGCTTTCATCGTTGATAAGCTTTTTCTTAAATTGTCAACAATGTAATGAAATCATATGATTTAATTTTAATTTTTTTTTTTAAATCAAGTCGCCAACTTGAATTAAGGTTATACTTTGTTAAGCTGGCAGTCTGGAATTCTGAATTTTTATCGGCACAGAATTCAAAGAAACTATAATTTAGCACGGTTTGGAGGAACGTTTCTGCCATAATTCTTACACAATACTTATGGTATACACTAAGAGCTGAAAAGGAATTCACTTGAATTTTAGCGTGGAGCTCGAGAGACCACTTCAAGCATTTGTATGCGAGTGGCTCAATGGAGCACATCACGCCTTTGTAGGTATGGGGTGGCTCAATGGAGCACCTCGCGCACTATAAATAGCACGGAGCTCGAAAGAGCACTTCATGCATCTGTATTTTAAGGTTAAAACGAACTCTAAAGAAACTCAATGCGAGGCTCAAACGAATTCTCAAGCATTCTAAATGCGAGGCTCAAACGAATTCCCAAGCATTCTTGATGCGAGGGGCTCAAACGAATCCTAAAGCATTCTTAATATGAGGTTTAAACAAACTCTGAAAGGATCCCAATGCGAGTCTCAACCGAGCTCTCAAGCATGCAATTATTTTGAGGTTAATTAACCTTCTATGGTACCAATAACGGCAATCTTAAGGATTATCCATTAATTATGCGCAAATCTCAATCTTAGTCTTAGTAACTTAAAATTAATTGAACAAATTATTATATCACGTCGAGGTCACCATGTTTTTTATTTTAAGAAATAATAGCAATTGCAAGTACAACTGCACACAAAAACTGCATTGAAAAGATAAGAGGATGATAACATACAATTAGGTTATTTGATATAAAACCATAGCAACATGCTATGATATGCTCGGCCACTGGAAAGTGCTGCTCTCTAGTGTAGCAAACGAGGAACAATTAATCCTCAGTTGAATGAGGGAACGGAAATGTTCGACGGAGGAAAACTGTAACCCGCGAAAATTCAACTTTTAGACCTTGAAATCAATGGGATTTTTGCCGTTCCTCCGACGGCAACGAGAACCATCCATTCGTCGCCACGGACACTACCAATGCTAAAAGAAATCGATCGCAAAGAGCTCTCCCGAGTGGGCGAGCTCAAAAACAAGAGGTATCTACTTATTTGGCAACCTCACTTCCATTTTCTAGACGACTTATTAAATATCATTCCCATATTGCTATGCGTTCAAAATATCTTAATAAATGCCACGTTATTCATTATGATCACTTTTAGTCTCTCAAAAAATAATAAACACCTGAAGACAATAAGAGAGAAAGAAAAAACCATTGCAAAATTTATGAAAAAATAAGCAAAATGGAATGAAATTATACGCGATGCACCCTTACTTTGTTTATTTCACTCTTGACCTTCGTAAAATTTTAAATGAATTCTGAATGACTTTCATGGGAAAATTATTCAATCAGATTGGCACTTCATTCAAAAAAAGCTTTCCTTGACGGATCAAATATTGACCGAATGAATATTCATTCGTTCAAAAGCTTTTCTGGTGTATTTACGAATAATATTTCTTGATGATTATACATTTAAGAAGCGTCATTTAATCTGAAGCGAGAAGGTGGTTTAGAAAAAAAGTCTAAGTATTGCAGTTCATCACTTTCTCATGATGTGAAAGGTCTTCAGCCTGTCCTTCTTTTCTCCTTTTGTTCCTTTCTCATCCTTCCTTTTCTCTTTCAGCAATTAACAAATCAAACAGTATACTTCATTTTTTCTCCTCGCGTGGATGATCTTTGAATCAAGAAGCAAACATCCTTTGGGGGGAGACCCGAGATTATTTTACTTTAACAAATATGTCATATTTCTGACAAAGCTATTTCTCGTAATGCTATGAGGTGATCAATCAATCTTTAGCGTTTCTCCGTTCGCTAAGAATTCATTGTGAAAAAAACAAAGAGATGGAAAAAGAGTCGTTAATCAATCATTCGAAAAAATGACAAATAAGGCGAGGCCTCATGACAAAAAATGAGGACTAGGTCGAATTGGACGTTGTAAGGAAAAAATGATACGTCACTTCATCATGAGTTTGAAGAAAAAACATATATCCATGTAATGAAGCTTCAACAGATACGCGTTTTTCAAATTGCTCAATTTAAACTTAGATTTAACACACGTCTGTTAGGAGACGAATACGTTCGGAAATGTTTCATCGGTCTACAGCTTACTTGATGCTTTTAAAAATTCGTTTTCCACGACATAGAATTGAACACAGATTACAGAACTGTTATACTGACCCCCTTCCATTTACGGGAGGCTTCATTTCACGCGAGACGATTCCTTTACATAGGAGTAGCGCGCGGGGGTGTCTGTATGAGTTAAAGCCCACCCATTTTTTTCAAGCTCCAGTGGAGTTCCCCCTATCCCTTTACACCCTCAAGCCCCTCGACCACCCCCCTTTTGTTTTGCACGTAAATACAGTTGAAGCATCGCAAAAATAAAGCATAAAAATAAAAAACAATATAAAAAGCAAAAATAAAAGTGTCCGAAAAAATAAAGCCTCCCCCTTCACTTTCCAAGCCCACGCTACGCCCATGCTGAAAAATGAGTCAGGTTAAATCGCAGAAAGAAATTAGGTGACGCGTGATTCCTCTTCAGATTGCCGTGGAGCGGAATTGAATTGGATGAAACTATCTAGAATCGGACTAACTACATTGGACTGAGTACATCAGACGCTGGTTGGAGAATTCTCGATTTGTCGAATGAGATTTGGCAACGCCTGATGGCTCATACGGCGTTCTTTCTTAGCACGGCATATGGCAGTCCAGGTCTGCCGTGATAGCGAAGAGAGCGGTAATAGTGCAAAAATGAAGTTTTCAGAAAATGGGACTAGAAGCTTCTGAGTGGAATATTTTATTGAAAGAAGCCTCCGTTCTTTGCCAAATCGCAACCAATCATTCGATAGACTCTTGGAAATCATTTGGGGGATTAAAACTCGACCGATTTTATTTTAAAGTACATGAAAAAGGTAAAATTCAGTTTCATGTTAGGTTAGTATTTAGCAAGACAACCGTAGGTGTCATCTTCCGCATGCATTCGTGGTTCTGTGCCTGACACACAACAAACACATTTTCAGGTTAGAAATCGGCAGATGAGGGCGGCATTCCTCTTGATAGCACTGTTTTCATTGGATCTCGTGCACCTACGGCTGTTTTGAATAAAAACTATGTCATTTTTTGTGCACTTACGGCTTTTTCATAAGTCTCGTTTTCATTGAATTGGGATAAATTTTGCTGTTTTACCTGTCTCAGTAATTTCATCTATAAGAGTTTAGACGAATTTTGAAGAAAACTTGATTTCGAAAATTTTGCACTTACGGCTCTCTTCGCTATCACGGCAGAGGTGCCTATTACCCCTGCCTCCCCTCCCACCCCCTCCCCGCATAGGAAGGTCTGAAGGAGTGTTCTTTCCTCTACTGCCCATTTCAAACGCAGCTCATTTATAGACAAAAGGGCATTCGAAGCTCCGCCTAAATTTAGCCACCACCCTCCCCCACTCGAGCGGAATATGTAACAGCTGAGCGATGCGCGACTCATCATTAGGCGCCACCTCCAGACTTCCACCCCATCACACCGGGCCTTGATTAAAGAGCATCAATGGAATACCACGCATAGCTTGATTTGTTCCGGGGGGCCTTTGACACGCCGCGTTACGCAAAACAGCAGTAACTCCATCATAAAGTGAGCCCGGAACCGCGTAAGAACACGCGTTGACCGTGGACCACGTCTCACGCACTTACTATTCTCTTGCGTGGTACAGTAGCGTAATGTGTCTTCGATATCGCCCAGGGGCGCGGGGGCGGAATATTGATCGCAACGCCGCCGTGCTAAGGAAGAACGCCGTATGAACATTCGAGAGTTGCCAAATTTCCCTTGATAGAACATGAATTTTTGACGACATTTACGCACATTTTTTTTTTGAAATCTTCAGATATTTTAGATTAAATTGTGTACAAGGTAGTCTGAAAATTTTGGAAAAAAATATTCACAATTTTCTCAGTTAATTCGGTTTTTATCGAGGGAATCTTGGCAACGTCTGAAGGCTCATACGGCGTTCTTCCTTAGCATGGCAGAGCGAGGGAGCCATCCCGGACCCGCAAGAGGTGCATGTGAAATCATCACACCTCTCAAATTATAAGCGTTACTACCTGTCGAGTTGAGCCCTATTGTCCATTTGACGCTACGCTTTCTGGGGCTCAAGTAGATAGTGAAGAACGCCCTTGCGTGAAAGGTGCATATGAAATGAGTGAGATGTACGCGCGCACCGCTAACCGTTGGATGAATATGGAA